AAAAACAGCAACAACAAAAACTAGACTAAATATTGCAGTCTATAATCACAGAAAAGGGAGAGAAGAAAAAAAAATTCTGTAGCCTAATATGAATATGACTTTAATGTCCTCTCTTCATCTTCTTGCTTTCAAAGCTGCCTGAGAGATTTCAAGATGCCACTGTTGGTTGTTATGCTAAACCTCAGGTTTTAATTTAATTTTTGACCTGTTTTGTTTTTAAACTCTCTTTCCCTCTCTACAGCCTTGTCCTGCCCTTTCCCTTATTAAAAAACAGAACAAAAAACAAACAAATAAGAAATGTTCAGGGCCTGCTCTTGGGCTAAGTATCTGTGCGCATGCGTGGCAGAAGAACCAACCAGTTGTGAGGGTGGGGGATGTCTACTCACTCAGGCTCCCCCTCTAGTCACCTGAATGGAGGTCGCAAACAGTGGGTGTGCCAATGACCAGATACCAAAAAAGAAAAAAGAAGAAAAAGAATATCAGAACAAAGCAAAACCGACAGTGTATTGTCTACCTCTGTTCCAAGGTTCCCGTGGCGTTTTTCTGTGGTGTTTCTTCTCCCTTGCTTGGTCTTGCCATTTGATCTCACCCAAGATGTCGGCTCCGGGCTTCTGAGCTCAGACTGGTGGATTCAAAAGTACGCAATTTTTAACTTCAGCTTCTAGTTCCACAATCTATAAGCCTTCAAACCTTCAAACTATTCCTATCTCTGTGGTTCCGAGTTTTGGAGCTCTGTCCTGGATCTGCTTTGACTGGTATTCTATTGTATTGCTGACGGCGAACTTCACTCCACCCTAGCCACCATCAAGCCCCGCCTACCTTGCATTCAGTCAGTATTAACTTGATGGCACCTAACAACAACAACAATCATCTCCATTGATCAGTTGCCCTGTCCCCCCACCTTGCCTTCTCATCTGTGAGTTGTTTAAATGTTGACTGATTGGTATAGATGGTTGTTTAAAGGAGCGTCTTTCTCACAGGTGTTATTGTTTATTTTATAGGCCAATTTATTACTTGGCTGAAAGGTAACCTCAGGAGTGGCTTCAATTCCAGGTAAAAAGAGTATCTTAGGGAGATGGTCTAGGGTTTTTCTTTGGTCTCTATTGGTCTAATAAGTCGGCTCTTTTTTTTTTTTTTAATATGAGTTTCACTCTACATTTTTTCCCTATTCTAACTGGAGTCTTTGGTTTCAAATGCAGTTAGCAGCCCAACAGCAAACCCACAGGGTCACAGGGTTGCTTTGTCATGTGTCACTGAGTCAGTTCTGACTCATAGCAACCCATGATATTGTTTCCAAGAAGTAGCTGATGGGTTTGAACAGCCAACCTTGTGGTTAGCACCCAAAGCTTATCCTACAATACCACATGAGGTCTCCAGGGTTCTGGTTGTTGCTGTTAAGTGCTGTTGAGTCAGTTGTGACCCATAGTGACCCTATGTAGAGTTTCCAAGACTTTAAATCTTCATGGTAGCAGAGAGCCTCATCTTTCTTTCATGGAATGGTTGATCGACTTGAACCTTGGACCTTGTGGTTTGAAGTCCAGTGCTTCTCCTATGAAGTCACCATACATGCCTTATGGTGTTTATTTACTAGGTTTGAAGGCTGGGTCAGAGTGGTTGGGAGTGATAGATGACGGTTTAGTAAGTTCCAATTCATAGCGACCCTAAAAACCACAGAATGAAATACTGCTGGTTCTGTGCCATCCTCATAATTGTTATGTTTGAGCCCCTGTTGCTACCACAGTGTCAATTCATCTCATTGAATGGTCTTCTTTCTATCACTGACCCTCCACTTTACCAAACCTGATGTCCTTCCTGACAACATGTTCAAAGTATAAGAGATTAAGTCTTGTCCTTCTGTTTTTGAAAGAGCATTCTGGTTGTACTTCGTCCAACACAGATTGGTTTATTCTTCTGACAGCCCATGGTATGTTCAATATACTTCTCTAATAGTATAATTCTAAGTCATCAAATTTTCTCTGATTTTCTTCCTTCCTTATTCTTTGTCTAACTTTCACATGCATAGGAGGTGATTGAAAATACCACGCACACCTTAGTCCTCAAAGTAATCTCTTTGCTCTTTAACACTTTAAAGAAATCTTTTGCAGCGGATTTGCCTAATGTAACACATCCTTTGATTTCTTAACTGCTACTTCCATAAACACTGATTATGGATCTAAGCAAAATGAAGTCTTTGGCAACTTCAATCTTTTCTCTGTTTATCTTTATGTATTTTAATGTGAGGATTTTCAGTTTTCTTTAGATTGTAAAGAAAAAATTATTTAAAAATTATTAAAATGTATCATGCAATATTTATCCTTTTTTGTTTGACTTATTTTATTCAGCATATGTCCTCTAAATTCATCCATGCAATATTTTATGAAAGCTCAATTTCTGTTTCTAGTACAGAATCTCACAGTAACAGAATTGAAAAAGAGGTTTTAACTTAGTTGTTGTTGTTAGGTACTATTGAGTCAGTACCGACCCATAGCAACCTTATACACAACAGAATGAAACACTGTCCAATCCTGGGCCAACCTCATTACTGTTGCCATGCTTGAGTCCATTGATGCTGCCACTTGGCCAATCCATCTCATTGGGGTCTTCCTCTTTTTCTCTGATCTTACCAAACATGATATCCTTTTCCAGTAACTGGTCCTTCCTGATGAGATGTCTGAAGTATGAGAGATGAAGTTTGGCCATTTTGGCCTCCAAGGAGCACTCTGGCTGCACTTCTTCGAACATGGATCTATTGGTTCTTTTGGCAGCCCATGACATTTTCAATATTCTCCTCCAACACCATAACTCAAAAGCATCAATTCTTCTAGGGTCTTCCTTACACACTGTCCAGCTTTCACATGCATATGAGGTTATTGAAAATACCATGGCTTGGGTCAGGCACACCTTAGTCCTCAAGCTGATGTCTTTGTTCTTCAACACTTTAAAATGTCTTATGCAGCAGATTTGCCTAATGCAATACATCGTCTGATTTCTTTAACTTAGTACAGTATCCTATATCAGTTCTCTTTAGCTGTGGTTCTGTACCTTTTCTATCTTTGTCCAGCTTGCCCTACCTGAGTATCAGCAGCTGTGGGGTCCTTGCACTACTCAATGAGAATATTATGGTAGTGGTGGTTATGTGCTGTGGAGTTGTTTCTGACTCATAGTGACCCTTGTATAGGGATTCTGAGGCTGTAAATCTTTACGGGAGCAGAAAGTCTCTTTCTCCCACAGAATGGCTGGTAGTTTCGAACTACTGACTCTGAGGTTAGCAGCTCAACTCATAACCACTACGTTACCAGAGCTACTAATATATTATAGCATGTGGTAACAGGTCAACTTCTTCCTGGTGAATGGTTAGGACCCACAAATACAATAAATCTATTGGATTTGAAGCAGATGAAAAGATTCGGGGCAAGGTAGAGGTAAGCAGTCATTAAATTGTAGTCTCCTTCAGGGCAAGAATTATTTTAGAATCTAGCAGCAGTTTGTTTGGGGCAAAAAGGTTATCAAATAAATCTGAGTTAATTGATAGACGGTAGTAAGAACTGCTGGGAAGTTTTTCTAGACCACCAACACAGTCCTCTTGCTATAGTTTGTTAAATATTAACAGAGGAGATAGCCTCAATTAATTTAGCCAGGTAATCTCTAAGAAGTTGTGTGGGCTTGTTTTTGATAAAGACTATATTGTTCATTTCAAACTCGACCTGCTAAGAATCATTTTGATTTTACTTTCAGCATCAGTATGACCACGTGTTCCACAGTGGCTGCCCTGGGAATGATGCCACTCTGCCTTTATGTCTACACCTGGACCTGGAAACTTGAGCAGAATTTAATCATCCCCTATCACAACATAGGTCTGTTTGGGTCTTGTGAAATGCAATAGTAACAGTAATTGAAATAATAAAATTTTGTTCTTATGGTAACTTCTAAAACAGATGGGATATACTTAAGGTCATTCTTTAGCTCTTGTAGCCCTATTTTATTTTCTTCAGCTTCAACTTGAACTTGTTGTTGTTGTTGTTGTTAAGGTCCATCTCACAGAAACCCTAAGTATGCCCAGTCCTGAATCATCCTCACAATTGTTGTTACATTTGAGCCCACTGTTGCTGCCATTGTGTCAGTCCATCTTGTTGGGGGGTCTTCCTCTTTGTGATGACCCTCCACTGTACCAAACTTGAACTTTTTGTTGCTACTGTTATTAAGTACCATTGAGTCAGTTCCGACTCATAGCAACCCTGGATAGGGTTTCCAAGGAGCGGCTGGTGAGCTTGAACCTACCGAACTTACAGTTCAAACTGCCCTTGCAATCCAGTGCATTATCCCATAGTTCATGCTGGTTGTATATAAGAGACCTTTACTGATTGTATAGAAATGATTCTTAGTGATTTCTAAAGTTCATACAGATGTCAGAACCACACTCATATCTCTTTCCCTGTTAAACTCTGTTCTATGGAAATCTTCACGTGGACTTGTGAGGCTTGTAGGAATAATTTGGGAATAAGAACTTCCTCTTGGAGTCCTGGTGTGGCACTGTATAATAAGCACTGGTCTGGTAACCACTTGGTCAACAATTCAAACCCACCAGCATTCCTGGAAGCCCTATAAAACAAGGTCTCTATGAGTCAAAACCAACTCAACAGCACTTAACAATTGTAGTTTGGTCAGAGCTTAAGGGGAAGTGAGGTAGCTATGATTCTTAAAACACACTTAAATATCAGTTTGGAGTCTCAAGTAAGACTAGGTATTTGAAGGTTTGCAATTGATGGTCTTTAGTTCAAAAGCATGCATTTTTTCAGCATGAAACAAGGGCCTGGTAGGAAAAATTTTGAGTGAAAACTTTATCTGGAAGACTTGATTTTATGTGCACCATTCTCCTGTCAGTATGTTATTTAATATATTCTGTTTTGATGACACATTCTGAAAGGCACTCACAAACAATTATAAAACAAACCATTATGAGCAATCCATATAACTTTGGACCCAGTTGTGTGGGCAGTTGACCAAATTTGGAAAGTGACACTGGGGAATGTCAGTGTTGGCAAATGTACAGTTGGTCACCTCAGCTCTGCTGAACCTGCCTTAGATGCTTTTATTCTGGAGCTATGAGTTAATGCACTGGACTGAAAAGTCTGTTTGAACCACAAGGTCAGTGGTTCAAGCTCACCAGTCACACCTCAGAAACCCTCTACATTGTTGCTATGGGTCGGAACTAATTTGACGGCACTTAACAGCAACAACTACTAAACAGGTATTTTTCTACCCATATTCTAGTTACCTGACTCTACTTGGTAGATATGAGCAATTGCAATTTTACTTTGTGAAGTAAAGATCTCCACTGATTTCAAATAAAGAAATCATAACTAAGTCTTAAGGGGATGACACCTGTACACGGTGACCAAATATTTTCACAGACTTCAAATGGTGCTCATGCTGTCTAATTTTTTGTTGTTGTTGTTCCTCTCTGTCTTTAAAATTCCATGTGAGTTTCAGAAAGAACTTGAGAGGAAACTGAGAGACTAGGTATGGTAACATTCCATTAGCAACATACCCCTCAAAGACTGTTTTCCAAAGACTCTTAAAAAAATTATTATTGAAAGTGGATGTTGTCGAAATAAAATGTAGCTCCAATGAAAGCTTTCATTTGTTTGAAATAGAAATTGAGTAGACCTGGTGAGAAGGGATGCTGACTGACTGATGTTCCTTCTCTTCAGGAATTACTCTTGCTTGCCTCACCATTCCAGTGGCTTTTGGTGTCTATGTGAATTACAGGTGGCCAAAACAATCCAAAATGATTCTCAAGGTAAGTGACTCACGGTTGTGATTAGCACATTTAAAGACTCAGAGTCTTGGAAGACAGGCATAAAAAGTCTGATTAAACCCAACTCACATTAAGAGCTGTCATTACATGTCCTGCAGTTTTGAAGTCAGCCTCCATGTTTCCCACCACTTCTCTAAGTCTTGCTCTGTTACTTCATAGGTCCATATACTAAGGTGGATGCCTTCCTGGAAGGTTTGAGACTCTTGCTTTACTGACAGGCAGTCAATTCAAAGGATTTGATTACGGGTACTCTCAATTTGAAAGCTGTTCTAATATGCATGAAACCAAGTCCCAATGTTTCTAAGAATATGGCTGGTTTCATGGGAAAGCAGGACAAAGGACAGTCTTTCAGAAATATTTTTGGGAGAACCTCTAGAGTTGTAGTTTGCACACATGAGCAAGGATTGAACACATGAACAAAACTTATTAAATGACACCATTCTAAAAAGAATCTGGCCACCAAATCATTGTAATGAGAGCATCTAATCTGGCCTTGACATTGTCTGAATTCCCCTAGGCTGCTTTCCAGTTTTCCAATTATGTTGTTGTTGTTAAGTGCCATCGAGTCGGGTCCGACCCATAGCGACCCTGTACAGGGTTTCCGAGGGTGTAAATCCTTACGGGAGTAGAAAG